GTGTCCCCCATGCTGGTCAGTGTAGAGGTCTCACTCTAAAGTCAGGACCATGGGCCAGACTGATTGATTTATTCCTGTTAAAAACTTCCATTAGGCATGATATGCCATCCTGGTTAAAAATGCAACATTTTTCAGAATAAAATGAAGGTTTTTTTGAGTTATTATTTGCAACACAATGCTTTCTGATGAAGTTTAGTAAAAAAGATCTATTTTCCAGGTGGTGGGAAGTCTACTAGGCTAGTAGAAAAGGAACTGACTGGGTTTGTTCCTGTGCTTGTTTGTTTACTTAAACTGCTGCTTTTCAATCTGCTAATCACTAGTGGCTGTTGTCTTTTGAAGAAACAAAAACACAAGAGTACCAAAATTGTTTATGAAAAACTCTTTTGTGGACCAGTGGTCTAAATTTTTTCAGTATAAAGGAAGCCTTGTCCAGTTTACAAAAAGGTCTCAGGGCTGTATCTCCGGCAGAGATTTCAAAATTCCATGTAAGAGTAAATTGGTTTAAACAGCCAAGCAAGATTTACAGCTGAGGGTTACTTTGTTCACTTGGCTGATGATCAAGAACAGCAAAAGACTTCCAGATAAAGCTAAACTGCAGTAAGACATTGGCTCTGTGAAGCATCTTTTCCCTATATATTTCCCAGGATTATTTGGGGGACATTTTAGAGATGTGGTTAAGTAGACATGTGAATAACAGATAGTGTTATGATAGGGAGAGGAATGATTTGTCATTTGCTTCACCTTTCTTTATCAGGGAATTTCCTTTGCTAAAGACTCCTTAGTTCACTGACAGTAGGAAAAAAACAATAGTTGAGATTGAGCAAATCACATAAACACATAGCTGCTTGTAGCAATATATTGCAAATAGAAGAGAATGTGTGTCCCCTAAATTTCAGTCACCTCTTAATGATAAACTTGAACCAGTCATGTCTCATCTGGGGTTTCTCTCCATACCTATTTCTCTTGAGTTGTCCAGGATTTGCAAGCGTTCTTGGGGGTTCCTTGGCACTCAGGCTAACAGAGTGGTGCAGGACAATCATATGTACGATTTCTTAGCTGCTAGAGACAAGTTCTTGGAACCCCTAGGAGGTGTATGCAATTTGTAATTTTGTCTGCAAAGATTTTTCTTAGAAGAAATAATAGTCTGTTCTCCTCTGCTAGCAATCTGTACCATTATTAGCATAAGCCACAGTTCCAGGTTGTACTAATAAATAATGGAGAGGGTCATTTTCAAAAGGAGATTAAAATGTGGGGGTTGGGTTGTATATTTTTTTCTAGCTTACTGCTGGCTATTTCCATGGTCAAAATAAACGCAGATATGCAGCTCATACCATAAAACAGAGTAGTTGGTTTGACCCTCAGCAAAGTGTTCCCTGTGCTGTAATTCCAAGCAGTAACATACTAAATCTGGTCCACTTGGGAAGACAGATAGCCAGGCAAGCCTGAGTTCTTGCCTAAACTTGGTTTTCAAAGAAGCGTGATCTTCTGTAATCATTTACCTATCCAAAATATATGAAATCTCTACATTCACATATACCACTTAGGACCAGTAATTTTACAATTGTTTTTCCCCTTGGAAGCCTTCTAAATCAATAGTTTTGTTCTGTTTGAGGCAAAATGGGAACACATAAAAAATTACTTTGTTCGTATCCCTTTGTAGCCTGAGGCCCTTTGAGCAACAGTCAGTAGGCAAAAACTTAATATATGTCTGAAAGAGCATGGACTTTTTGTGGTTTCTGATGATGACTGAGGAAAAATAAGGCCTGGAAACTGCAGTTTCATAATTTGTGAAAAATTATATGGTGGTGGGTATCTACTGAGCCCAGTCTGAATATTTTGTTCCGATTGCAGTGAAAACTGCAGCTTGTGCTCTTACAACTAGCTGCCAAATCTAAAACCTGTTTCTAACTGCTAGGCATCAAATTGAGCATGTGTGAGACACAACTCTTGGGATTAAGTTTAAATGAGTGAATCTTAGACCTTATCTATCATTTATTTGACTCATGTGTACACCCACGGATATCACAGGCATTTTTATTTAATTATTTAAGAACTGGCACGTGACTTGCATTAACTCCTTCCTTTGGGTATCTTGCTGACAGAATAGTGCAAAGGAGCAATACCTAATCCTCATACAGCCAGAGCTGTTTGTGAAGAAAAAGATCCTATTAAACTGGCCCTGTCATGTGAGAGGAAATTATAGTCAATTTGAAGTACTGGTTCTTAAAACAGAATATAGTTATGCTCATACCACCAAATTCAGACTGTCATAAGAGAGTCATAAGGTTTCATCTTAATTTCAGAGTAAATCTCTGTGCATTCGGTCTGTGTCATTTTGATGGATACAGAACTGTGCACTGCTACAAGGCCAGGACATGTATTTATTTATTCAGGAAAATATATGTCACAAAAACATTCACTGTAAAAGACTTAGTGTGCTCTAATGGTCTCATCCAGCAACACTGGAATCAATGAGAATCTTTCTTTCCATATTGGTAGTGCAGGACTGTGCCAGCAGCACAGAAAGCATTCCTCTGGCCTGAAGTGCCTGGCACAAATGTCAAAATCATTAGGAAAATAAAAGGCTGACAAACAAGCAACTTCATGGACATGCAACAAATTTGAAGGCAACTGAAAATACAGCTGTTTTCTAAAGTTTGTATGTGAAACGTGTTCTGAGAAAAATGGGTTATTCCAGCTGTATGTCTATGCTCATTTGTAGTATAAAAAAAAAAAAAAAAACAAAAAAAACAAATGAAACAGTAGTGACAGAATAATTCATAAAATGGACCTTAAAAACAGCTGAAGAAAAGCGCTGGTTAGTAGTATTTGCCTTTAAAATTCAACTTGCAAAACAAATTTGATTAATTCAAATTTTCATTAATTTTACCAGATTTTGCTTTATTCTGCTTTAAGTAGCACATTAAAAAAAAAAAAAAAAAGCCAAAATATTGTTTCCTTGTTTTTAATGAACTATTAGCCTGCAGTATAAACACTTGTTTGGTGTCATTACTTTAATGAAGAACTGCAAGCCACACATTTTGGTTGCGGCTATTTTCACATGAGTACTTCAGTCCTGGGAATTTTTAGGGCTATGCCATGAAGCGAACCAGCCCAAGGGACATGAGCCATAACTTAACTCTATGTATAGAACAAAAATGTGCCTGTGTGCATGCACAACCATGAGCCTCTAGCAGTATTGTCCTTTTGTCCTTTGCCAGTACAGTCAGGATATGATGTGTGACAGCCCTTCTGTCTTGGGAAGTCCTTTTCTTCGGATGTTCACTGTGGGGAGCATCCATCTCTTTGCCAAGGACACTCCTGCCCCCGTTTAGCCATGGACTTGTTGCCACAACATCATCATAACTTGCCTGCCCAGCTTTTGGGAGTAGTTTCCCAGGGTTCCCACCAGCCTCTGCTGAAGCTCTCATTAGCAGTGGCTTCCCAGTTCCTCAGCAGATGTCTTCAGAAGAAAGCCTCAGCAGAAAATCTTCAGATGAAAGCCTTAAGCAGAAGGGCACCTGGGAGGATGGAAAGTATTACAGAGAGTAAGAATCTTCTTCACCGCAGACTTTTTGACTTGAGACATCCATCTTCATCTTCTCTCTGTGTTCATTTACTCAGCAAGCATCCAACAAAGACAAATAGTTGTTGGTGTCTGGGGCTGCCTTCCAGACAGGGACCCAGTGCATTCCACAGGTCCCCTTGAAGTCTGACTCCCCTAGTCCCGTAACTGGTTTTTCACCCCAAAGTCCAACACTCAGCAGAAATCCAGGGCAGAATGAGGCTTGGTCAAAATAAAAGTCCTGACCACAAATAAATAAAATCACCTTTACATAAATCAAGATGTCATTCCTCTCCACGTTGCTGTTTTGCTTTCCCACACACAAATGGGAAAAAGTCTAAACTTGGTTCTTTTGTCCACTTTGATACTGTTATTTTATGTATGGGAACATTGCCAATCTTTTTTTGTGCAAGCATCCAAGCAAAAGACCCAGGAATCCTCTTCCCTTTTGCCAGAATTAGTCTTTGGTCAAACTTCCTGAGCTTCAACAGGTCTTGAGGTTTTGCATGCGGTGAGATTTGTTACAAACCTGTTTATAATGATGCCATTTTTTAACCATAAGATACAATGAAGACAGAGAAGGCTGAAATGAAGTGGTTTTGGTCCTCGATGCTGTAAGAGGCTTTATATTGTCTACAGATGTGAGGGGAGCTGGGAGTTAGCAGTGACCACTGGCCAGTCCTGGGCTGCCCAGAGCCTCTGCAAGAGAAATCCCAGCACCTCTGCAGTTTAAAAGGGAAGAGGTGCTCCTCCTTTTTCAATTCTACCTTGCACTTTTTTCTGTCACAGATTTTTGACTAAATCAGCCACGTCAGGAAAAGAAATGGGAATGAATGAATGAATGAATGAATGAATGAATGAATGAATGAATGAATACAAGCACAACCAGTCTCTTTTTTGCAGCAATGTTGCAAAGTTCAGAGCAGAAGACAAGAACACTTCTTTCAAAAGGGGATCTTCAATTCATGCCGTGACCATTCCTGACCCTTCCTGTAAGAGATTTCCCTGTTCTCCCTTGCTCAGCCTTCTCGGGGTTTCTCCCCTTCTGTACCAACCCTGCCTGAGCCTATGGATCTGTCTTTTTAACTGCAAAACGGAGAAAGGGTCGGGAGCATGGAGCAGCCCCTCCACGCACCCACCTCCGCCCGAACTCGGGGGAGTTGGCAGAGCCGCTCAGGGCGCTGCCTTGGGGGAGCGGCGCTCTCCGCTAACTCCTAGCTGCGCCTGCCCGCTGCTTCGGCCCGGTCCGACACCGAGCAGCGGCGCTCCGGGCCGGCGGAGTTCCCTGAATCCTCATAAATAAAACTGTACATAAAGTTGCAACAGAAAAAGCAGCGGAACTGCACAGCCGCGGTCCCGCGTGAAGGGACCCCCGGTGCCCCGCCGGCCGCAGTTTCCAGCCCGGCCCCGACGGCTCCGTGAGGGCGGCGGGGCCTCAGGCGGGGCCGCCCGGGACACCCGCGGGCGCGGCGGCGGGGGCGGCCAGCGCCTCCCGCTCCCGCTTCTTCTGCTTCATGCGGCGGTTCTGGAACCAGACCTTCACCTGGGCGTCGCGGAGGCGCAGCGAGCGGGCCACCTCGAGGCGGCGGGCCCGCGACAGGTACCGGCTGAAGTGAAACTCCTTCTCCAGCTCCGTGAGCTGCCGGGTGCTGAAGCTGGTGCGTGCGGAGCAGGCGGGAGGTTCCCCCCCGCACGGCGCCGCACCGCCTGCAACGCCGAAAAACACCGCGTTTCAGCGGGGGCAAAGGCAGGGGGAGGAAGCGGGGCGGGGGTCGAGGCAGGAGAAGGACAGAGGGGAGCTGGGATGGGAGCAGTCCCCGCCCGCTCCCCGCCGCCCCACTCACTTCTCCCGGGCGGGCTCCGCTTCGCTCGCATCCACTCGAAGGTGCGGGGCGCCGCCGGGGCCGCCGCGGGAGCCGGGCAGCCGGGCGCGGGGGCGGCCCCGGGGCAGGGCGAGAGCTGCCGCAGCCCCCCGCCGCCCGCGCCCAGGCAGCAGCAGGGGCGCTCGGGGTCCGGCGGCGGCGAGCGGCCGCTCCCGGGAAGGATGGACGTAGCGGAGCCCGGCGGTCCGGCTCCCCGGGGCGGCCGGTGGCCGGGGCCCGGCGCAGCGAGGGCAGCGGCCGCGTACCCCAGCGCCTGCGGGGGGGACGCGGCGCTGGCCGTGGTGCCCAGCGCCAGGAAGGCGTCGTCCCCTCGTTGGGGGAACGGGGCCTGCGGGGCACCTCGGCACAGCCCTGGCGGGAAGGCGAGAGCAAAGTACCCCAGGTCCATTACCCACGGGGCAACACCGCGCCCCGCCGGGGCAATATTGCCCTAATATAGGCCCTGGAGCGGGGCGGCACGTCCCGCCCCGCGGCCAATGGGAGCCCGGAGGGGGGAGCCCGCGCCGGGGGTCCCGGGCGCCGCCAGCTCCCCGGTCCACGCCCGGCTGCCCGGGGCTGGCGCGGGACTGCAGGTGGGCAGCCGGGCGTGGACCGGGGAGCTGGATTCCCCCGGGACAGGCCGTTCCCCCTCGACGGAGTCGCCGCACACTTGGGACGTGTGCCGGGCGTTTAGAAGGTGAGTGAGCTGGCGGTTTCCCTCTATCCGGGCTCCCGTCCGGGCGCAGGTCTGCGCTCTCCCTTGCCCTGCAGCCGGCCAGGCTCCTGGGGGCTCCCTGGGAGCCCACGCGGGCACACCCAGGTCTCCACACCCGGAGGCTGGGACGAGGGGCGGGTTGCTACTGCATCCCATGGCACTTAATGGTCTCGTTCCGTCAGATAAGTGCTCTGCAGCCTCTCAAAAATGAATCCCCTCACCGTTAACAGGCTCACACTGTTAATGGACTTTTATTTTTCCCTTGGCGATTCGGCATTGTTTACTGAGTGTTTGCAGCTGGCAGAGAGCACCAAGTTACTCTACCCAGCCAAATCGTCCAATTCTCTCTTGGTTTTCAATCCCCAAGAATGGCAGGAAACATGAACAAGGTGAAGGAGGTGAAAATTGGACTTCCAAAGTCATCATCTTTCCCTAAATGCCTTCAGGTGGCGTTTGACCATCCAGTCTGAGCCACGCCGATGTTTGATTTGGGTAATGATGGTTTCATCCAATGTCTCAGCTGATAACCACGTGTCAGTGCAGTTCAGAGCAGCAGAAGGGTGTGCTGGGCAGAGTACACCGGGCTTTGGTGACTTGGGACTGGACATACAAGGAACACGAAGGAGGGCTACATCATGCCGCTTTGGACTTGAAACCTTCTAATTCTTAGTAGGTGGATGTGGAGTCAGCTGGGAAATGCAAGGTTTGTACGTTATTAAAAAATACATGTTATTTCTAAATAAAAGCATGAAATTTATATGCCTTCATCCATCATCCATTGACTTTCACTCAGCAGTTCAAGGAGCTCTACAAGCTCTTGAAAAAGTGCCATTTGCTGTGGTCAAGAAGAGGCCACAAATTTTGCAAGGACTGAGCTTGGTGCCAACCTCATGAAGGCAAACAGAATCCCCAGAGAAGGAAACATTCCCCTGGATCTCCTGTGGATTTCAGAGTGCCAGACTGGTGACAGGAAAAGGATATAATGAGGAGACATAATCAGACCATTTCACTGACTCAGTATCAACTCTTTCCCATGGAGATTTATGCTGTGCAGCTCAGCTCCACTATTATACCCAGCTGATGAATTTTTTCCTGCAGAGGCCCTGAGAGGACAGGCATACACATCCTGCAAAGGTACAGGAGCATTTCCCTGCACAGGAACTCTGATCGGTGACATGGCCTCCTATCAGCCCTGCTTCTTCCCCAGCTAATATTGTTCATGTACTATAAAAGAACTATTGCAGAGCAAAGACTAGCTTTGTACAGATTATGTCTTAAGGGTGCTTGGACTTTGAGTCTACAGACACAGGATTCACTGAAATTGCAGAGCCCTGAAGCTCGGTGTTCTCCTGGCATAGACTTGTTCACTCTGATGGGCTGTGCTGCCCAGATACTCTAATAATGGAGGATCACCTAAATTTCTATTTTCAGGGGATGCAGATATAAATTAGAATAACAGTTTAAATCAAATACATTTTTCAGAAAACATACATTTTGAGGAAGGGGTTAAATTCTGCGTGATACAAACTTTCTCAGCACTCCCATGGCAATCAGAGCAATTTGGAAAATGTTATCTTCTGAAAAAAATCAGAAGCCTGGGAACACCAGGTTTTCTCTTTAGCAGAGAATGGCTATCCATGCAGGAGGGCATCTGTGCTCTTCAGTCTCCCCTGCTATAAAAATTCCTGCCTGCAGTGAAGGAAAGAAAATTGGTTTCAGAACAGGGCTGCTGCTTTACTTGAACCTTGTGTTTGCAGAATGCAACTGCTTTGATTACACCTAAGACTGTTTTAAATGCTAGAAAAGCTGTCTGTGTTCACACCAACATACGATCTTTCCATTTACCCAGCTGGATGCTGTTACGAGCTTCCTGTTCATTACCTGTTTGTTTTGGCAGGACTGTTCAAGGGTGACAAAAGCAGAAATCAGTGGCTAAATACAGGCAAAACATCTCTTGTTGGTGCTCTGGCTTTTGAGGGAGGGCTTTTTCTACACACAGGAATTTCAGTGTTCAGACTTAAAAAGTTTAGTTCCAGTGATAGAGAATAGAGTGATTGAAGCTGTTTTTGTTCAAGGAGTCTAACAGGAAAGATGAAGGACTCCTTGGAAGCCAAAAGAAGGAGGAAGAAAAGTGGGAGAAAAAGGAATGTGAAGAACATGATTCTGTCAGAGACAATTTGAGAACAGCTGGGAGGTTTAGGGATGCCTGTGTGAGTAGTCAAGTGATGACAAGACAGAGGAGCTGCTGGGGCAAAAACCTCTGTGAGAACAATGGACCAAATGAGTCCTTGTGTCACCATGTTTCTGGAAGTATGTGGGCCTCTACAAAGCCTGAGAAAGCTGCTGTGGAACCAAGACATGATGTAGGAGAAAGTCTGGCTAAAAAGCCCTGGGTCCCGTTGGGTGCAGACACCAGCCACTCACCTTAGGGAGGCTGCTTGAGCAGTGTGTGTGCTGCAGGCAATGGCAGCCCCGAGCCACAGACACTGCTTTGAGACTGCGACACGTGGCCTTTCTCCCTGGAACAGGAGTCCTCCCTCTGTGCTTGTCACAATAGCCAACACGCAGGAGATCAAACTGATCCCTCCCCAGCCCCCAGACCTGGAAGGTGTGGTTCAGGCATTACCTTGTCCTTACCCCTCTGCTGCTACAACTCTGCCAGCTGGGCAAAGCTGATTCCCAGTGCTAAGTGGGGATGGATGTGCATCCATGGTGTGGACACAGCTGGGGTGTTAATGGGCATCCTGAAGGGAGGTAAGCAAACACTGGGTATTTAAGCAGTGGCCCTCTTAGCAAAAACGAACCACCAAAGGCTCCTGTGAGAAAGGCTATTACAGAAGGAGGGGAAGCTCTTGGGAGTTTATTTTGTAAAATGTGAATAAACCCAGGGATGAACAGAGACTCCAGGGCAGAGATGGGGAATTGTTCTGGCACTCCAGGGGAGCCATCTTCAGCTCCTGCATTAGCACAGCCCTTTCAGGCAGTCCCAGCAACTCTCAGGAAGGGATGTTTCCCTCTGCCATCAATATTTTCCTGGCACAAGTTCCCCTTTCCCAGATGACCCCGGGGCAGGAACCTCTGTTTTCACAGTATGTGGGATTAACGACAAAGATCCTTTATATGGACACAGAGAAGAGGAAAGTCTATCCCTTCTTCTGTAAAGATTTGCTCTGAAAAGTGATTCCACGCTGGCCCCTTGCCACATAAAGCCCTGTTTCCAGTCCCATGGCTGTGAATTTGGTGGGACAGAAATATTACATCTATTGATAACCCAGAGGTGTCAACAGATGTATCAATAAGTTTGCAGCCAAGATTTCTGTCTTGTCTATCCTTTCTTGCTCCCAAAGATCCGAAAACCTAGACCAGGTTTCTTAGAGGAAATATTGAGGCAGTATACCTCACTCAGCATGGAATTGCCTACCGGTCCCAAAACTTCAGCTGTTGCAAGAAAACTGCATGTCAACAAATAAAAAAAATGAAGCATTCAAATTCTACATTCATTAGTATTTTTTACCCAGAAGACATCCATCCTGTCTAGCACAAATTCCTTGCTGTTTTCACTCTGCTTGGTGCTTATTGTCTTTGCAGCTTTCTGTAATTCATCCAAGAATGGTCAGAAAGCTTCAGGATCTTGGGCTCCAAAAGGAGACAGAAAGACTCACCTCTGCTCCTGAGCAGCACCTGCAGAGGCCTAGGGATGTGCAGGCACAGACACCTCACTGTGTTCCATTTTGTGTTTTAGCCTATGTGGCCAAAGGGGTTCAGTCCTGCCCTGTTACTCCGTGGTTCTCAGGCTCTGGGACTGCTTTTTGCTTCTGGTGGATGGGGTTTTTGCTTGTGTCCCAGCTGGCTCGGGTCCAAGCAGAAGTAGGAGGACCCACTGTCGAGCACAAAGTGCTCTTTGTGTGATTGATGACCCTTAACAGAGCCAGCCCTCTCACTCCCCTGGCAGCCCCACTCCAAGCTAGCACCATGGGGTACCCACTGCTGCCTCTCACATGGGAACAGAGAGACATTGCCTGTTCAGGAATTAACTTGCATTCAATCCCTGGAAAGTGGCTGCAGCCAACAGAGCTCTGATCCAGCTTATCTTGCACCTTTTAAAAGCAGAGGTGTCTTGTTCATCAATGCACAACATCATGTGACACCCAGCCACCCACCATGACCCTAATTGCCCTGGCAGCACCAGCCCCTTTGTGCTGCCCGCCCAGCTCCAGCTTTTGTTCCCAGGCAGGTCTGCAGTGGAGCGCTGGACATCTGGGTCTGCCCACCGTGCAGCACACTGTGCCTTTGCCAGGCTGCCATTGCGTGTGGCTGCTGGGCACGCACGGCAGGCTGGCATATAGAAGGATGGCATCACAACCTGCAGCTCTCTCCTCAGCTGACAGCTCTTAGCAAGGCACCTTCCCAGTGGTAGACCAGCAGCCCTATCGTCTTTACCCTGTTTTTTCCCCTGGTCAAGTAGTCCTTTTAGTGCCTGGACATCCCTGCAGGCTGTTTCAAAGGGCATCCTATAGGGCTGGAGGGGTGCAGGCACCCCAGTGGTGGATCCTGCCTTCAGACTTTTTGCCATGGAGCCCAAAAGACCCAGCTGGCCCGCAAGAAAGTCAGAGGACTTCTAGTTGACGCTGGTGGGCTCCCTCTTTCTTAGACAGCCTCCTCCCTGCATACCCTTGCCTCCTGGGTGTGCAGCCAGCTGCATCCTCTTCATCTTTGGACAAGGTTGCCTGCAGCCCCAGATGACACTGGTGTGGTCTCATAGTGGAAGCCATGGGGATGCCCCTGAGTCCTTCCCTGGCCTACCCACGGACCAGGGCTGGGAGCCTGCAGTGTCTGCTCAGGAAGTACTTGCTAATGGAGCAGGAGGCATTGGGCTTTGTTTTTCCAGCCAAACACAAGTGGCACCTGCAAAACTGTGACATCTCGGAAAGCCCCTGGCTGTGCCTGTCTAGGTTCCCCTACCCTGGTGCTGCTAACCAGGCCATGCACAGTGGGACACTGATGGGGGCCCCCTCGAAAAGAAACAGGATGCAGAGAGGTAGCTCAGCCCTGCACTGACTGCATGGAGACAACACAAAGCCTCAGCTCCTTTTTGCACTGGGGAAACTGCTGGAATGCCATTAAATGGTGGGTTACTGTAAAGGCCAAACAAGAAAGTCGAGACCCAAACCCCACTGATCTGAACAGAAGAACTTGCATGGCCTCACTGAAACTCAATGCACCCCTGACACCTCTCAACCAGCGCTGTCAGCAGCTCCCTATCCCAAATAGTGCAAGACCACTGCTGGCATTTAGAGGCCCTGGCTCACTGACCCCTTTTATGGGTCTGGAGCAGATGGAGGTAGCAGGGAAGGAAAGGAAGGGGTGCTGTGCCTCCTATTTGTAAAGAAAGGCAAAGCTAAGATCAGCCCCGGCCTGGCCTTGGCTGACTAGTTGTGTTTTAAATAGGTGACTGGAGTTCATCACATCAGATGCTGTTGCAAAAGAGCTGAGCTCCTGTTGAGTGTGAAAGGAGGTTGTTTATAATTTATGGGTTTTCAATGATGGGCCAAAAAAAAGTCTGGCCTGTGCCAAAGTGTATCTCTCCTCTGGATTGCTGATGCTTGTACAAACATTGTAAAAATGCCAGCAATCTTGCTAAAGTTACATTACTTCTAATAATTAGGTTATCATCATGGATTTATATTGCATTACAAAGAAGAGGACTCTGCCAGAGCCATGGAGAAGAAAGTGAGTTTATTTACAAGAAGATTCTCCCTCACGCGAGCTCCTCCTCCTCCCCCACTGGAAACCATGTCTGCGGGCCCCGTCTTTCTGCAACATGAAAGTAATTCAGGGTTTGTGGTCAGGGCTCCTCTGAACTCCCTTCCTTCCCCAGATCTTTAAGCAGCCTTTTCTTTCTTAGCAGATTTAATGAAGGACTAATAGTGTAAGTCGGGGCAGACACTGTTTGACTAACAGCCTACAGAGCACAAAGCAAAAGGGAAAAGGACACTGGGCAGAAATGGTGGTGCCTTGCTGTTTCACAGATAGAAGCAGGTAATGCAAAATATATTGTGTTTCAAGAACACACAAAAAAACCTACATGGACAATTTTGTTTGTTAGCACATTGATTGCAGAAAGTTTTGGAGAGACAAACATATGTATATATTTATGGCCCATTACAGATGTGTAAATCACAAGTGGTGTCTAGCATTACTTTTTGTGTTGTTCTAAGAAACAATTTGTGTGAAAGCTTCCATAGAATACAATTTTAGTGTTTAAAAGGGTTAAAATATGTCTCCAAACAAAGAAGTTTATTCTGTTCTGTTTTGTTTACAGATCTGTAAAAAAAAAATATCCAAATTTGCTTGGTTAAAAGTGAAATTTAATAAAAGATACACTTTTCACTGTAGCACAGCATTGCTGAAATCTCACAGAGGGGAAAACAAAACCCTAAGTAATATTTTGAATCCTTAGTGCTCAGCTGAACATATATACCAAATGGCGAGGAAGAAAGCAGGGATGGGAAAGAAAATAAGAACAAATAAAAGAAAATTTTTTCTGTATTGACCAGGATGGGAGGTAGCAAAATATTTCTCACAATAGGAATGCCAGGTCTGTCATTAGAGGATGGAGTAGGAGCTGAAGTGTTTGTCAAACTGGAAAGCGATGCATCAGATGCTTTGGAGGGGAATATAGGAGTTTGGATTAATATTTAACTCGACACTTTTAGAAAGAGATAAGAATAGTCTTCTCAGAGCGATATGTACTGTCAGGAAGAGACTTTAATCACAGCGTTTACAAAAGAAGTATCTCTGTAAATCCAGCGAGTTCAATACAGCCGTGTAACTAGAGAGGAGGAAACACGAGGGTTCAGAGCATTGTTCCCTTTCTTTTTCCTATTTTTTTTTTGTCTTCTTGTTACTTTATTTTTTTCTTCCCCGTGTTAAACGTCCTGTTCGTGGCAGGGAGAGGTGGCGGTGCCCCCCTACCGCGGTCAGGTCGGGTGGGACTGTCCTTGCCGGGCACCGGGGGAGTGCGGCGGCACCGCCCAGCCACTGCCCGCACCCCGTCTCAGCGTCTCCCTTCGGCTGTGTGTATCTGATTGTCAATTTTCTTTCAAAGTTTGTATTTATGGAAAAAAAAAAAAAACAACAAACAAACCACAAGAGGAAAAGCTCGGCCTTCCAAAGATGTCTAAAAATTGATTTATGGTTAGTATAAAGACAACAGTATAAAAATAACAAAGGAGGCGGCAGCTGCTGCGCGGATTGCTATGGAGACCCTAATGAAATTAGCACTATCAGAGGGTTTCTAATTTTTTTGCCTTCTAAGCTTCTAATTTCTTTTCTATTTTGGATAGCCAGAGTGTAATTGGAAAAAAAAAAATAGCCCACTGAAATAATATGCGCGATAGATACCCAGCCAATAAATAAATGTTAACCTCACCGAGGTTTTCCTATGCAGGATTTGATCTGAAACAAGATGGCCAAGAGCCCCTCTTTGTAGATCGCCTCCACAAAGTGGCTGCGCTTCCATCTGAAGGTGGCTTCACGCGGCTGAGCCAGCTGCCAGACAAGCCACCGAGGCGCTCTAGGGGGGGCAGCCAATTAGAAATAAATACTTTAAAAATATTTTCAATATCTTCTAAGTGTAACGGCTCTTTGTGTGATGCCACAGTTTGTTTTACTCTATTAATGATTTACGACTTGCTGTCTTAATTAATCCTTACATAAACTACAAACACCAGCCACTGTTACAACTGTTCAAGACTACTCTCTCAACTAGTTCAGACCGATTATACTAAATAGGTGAAATGTAAGTCACCACGGACCTGAATCCCTCTCCCGAAATATTGGTGAAGAAACTCTACAAATACCCACATAAATACATTAAGACGAGGATAAATAATCAGTGATACAAAAAATGTCTCGCTTAAAATAATAAATACATATCATTTAGTCCAATGCAATCCTTACGTTACGGAAGAACTCATAAATTAAATTCTCTGAAATAATAAGCTTACGCACGGGCGAGTTCCGCCGGCTCACGACTGGTCTAAAACACCTCAGCATGACGCGCTGCTAACACTACAGCATCTCTAAGACTTACCTTCAAGTACATCATTACCAGCTTATCAGTCCCTCGGTTGGCAGTATATTGCACTGTCATGCTTAAAACAGCTCTAAGAGAAAGGCTCCTGCTCACGGACCTACTCGGGGCTGCGGAAGAAAGAAGGGAGCTGCTAAGGGAGACAAATCCACTAATACTGTTGGCACTCGAGAGCACAGTAACACTGTCCCGTCAGAAAAGTGAGGTAATGGAGAGGGGAGCGGGGCCCGCTGGCCGCCGCCCCGCTACAGATGCGTGAGCTTGGGCGCCTCCTGCATCCGTCCCTGAGTGGTGTGGTGAGAGGAAAGGTCCGTGTAGGTAGGGTGGGGGTCGCAAGGTCCGTGGTGGTGGCCGCCGGGGATCTGGGCGGCGCAGCTGTAGTCCACGCTGGCGGAGGAGGGGTGCTGCAGGTGGCCCAGGTTGAACATGGGACCTGAGGCCGGCATGGAGTCCACGAAGTTGCCCCCCACGTAGACGGGGCTGCCCTGCAGGCTGGGGTTGGCGAAGCCGCCGCCGCCGCTCTGCATGGGATGGGGGTCGTACTCCGCGCCCGCGTAGCGCTTCTGCTGCGGCAGGCAGCTGCTCAGCGGCGCCGTGTAGGCGGCCAGCCCGTACATGCTCTGCTGGGACTTGGCGAAGGAGGTGGGCGAGGGCGCGTCGTAGCTGAGGCTGTTGACGCCGGGGAGCTGGCTGGAGTAGCCGACGTGGTTTGGGCCGCTTAGAGGGGGGCTGCGGTCCGGGGACTGTCCGACGGGGGAGTGCATGATGCCTTTGGCTTTTTGGTCCTTTTTGTACTTCATCCGGCGGTTCTGGAACCAGATCTTGATCTGCCGCTCGGTCAGGTTGAGTAGGTTGGCCATCTCCACGCGGCGCGGCCGGCACAGGTAGCGGTTGAAGTGGAACTCCTTCTCCAGCTCCACCAACTGCGCGCTGGTGTAGGCTGTTCGCACCCTCTTGGAGGCCGGCCCGGGGGGGCTCTTGTCCTCGCAGCTCTCTCCTGCGGGGAAGAGGCACAAAGAGACATTGGTTCCCTCCACGAAAGACAGCCCCCCCCCTCCTTTCCTCCCGTGGTCCCTCGGAAACCTGCTATACACCCTCTGGCTCTGTCGGCGCCCGGGGAGGGGGTGCAGAGGGCCCGGGGGCGGCCCGACATGCACACCCTCCCGCAGCTGCCTCCCCCCAGAGACCACCAGCGGCCCCCCGCCCAGGCGTCCCCGGCACCCCGCCCCCAGCCTGTCCCACCTGCAGCGCCCGGCAGGGCTGGGACCCCTCAGCGGAGGGGCGGGGGGAAACTGGGGGGCGATGGCAGCTAGAGGAGTAGCAGACAAGGCCCGGAGCCAGGGGGCTCAGCCCGAGGGATTCAGCCCGGCTCCCGAGCGAGCAGTGGGTCGGGCGGGGGTTTTGGGCTACCTGGGGGTGCGCAGGTGTTTTTCTGCTTGGAGTTCTGCCGGGACTCCTTCATCCAAGGAAATATCTGCTTGCTGAGGGTGGCGCTGGCCGAGCCCGAGGAGTTGGGGCCCCCCTTGGCTTTTTTCGGAGGGGGCACACTGGGAGGGGGGTTGGGCGGGGAGGAGGGCGGCAGGGCCGGGGGCTGATGCTCGCCGATCCCCGGGGGCTGACTGCCCCCGGGGCCGCCCCCGCCCGGCCGCATGCAGCTCCCGCTCAGCTCGCTGCCCTTGTGGGCCGGAGCGCGGCCCGGCGCCGAGCCCTGGACGGAGCAGGCGGAGCCGGGGTACTCGCCGTCCAGGCCGGTCTGCCCGTAGGGCTGGTGGGCCGCGCCGTAGGGGTAGGCGTCGGCCTTGCCGTAGGTGTAGCCCCCGAAGAGCCCCGCGTTGTCGTAGTAGGCGGCTTTCTGCATCCTCTGCTCTGCGATCGCCGAGGCCCGCGGCCCCCGCTCAAATAACATTGACCGCCGCCCCGCGCCTCACGTCGTCGGCCCGGGCCACTCGCAGCCACCTGAGGAGGGAAACAACAGGGACACAAGGGAGACTTTTAGAAGGGGAAACAGGCTGGTAGCGGCTGGCACAGGCCGGTCCCGGCACCCCCCGCACCCCGGCACACTCGGCCTCGGCCTCCTACCCAGGAGAGGGCTGGGAGACATCAAGGAAGGAGCACGGGACCCAAAGAAAGACCAAGGGACAAGAGGGGAGGAGCAGGGTCACCAGGCAGGAGTCAGGGCAAACTGGGCCACACTAGGGAGAGAGCAGAGTGCATCAGGGAAGGACCCGGGGCACTGCAGGGAAAGAGCCACACGAGAGCGACGGTGCGAGGGGAGACGGAGCACATCGGCAGGACATCGTACAGGCCACATTTTGAAGCATTTTGGGGATGTTTTATTTTCTTTGTTTTGCCTTTGGACCGTTCCCACTCGAGTTTGGCTGGATCGGACCCCGCGGCTGTAGGCAAGGGCTCTCAGTGAGGAACTGTGCTGGGTGGTGTCCCCAAAGACCCAGCGGCCCATCTCGGCCGAGAGCATCCGCGCCCCCCGCCCGGCACGCGTGCGCACGGCCGGGCACGGTTGACATGATGGATGGAGCCCGGGCTGCGGCCGGGCAGAGGCAGAAAAATCCCGTCCGCTTTGTAAACCCGCCCTTCTTCTTTCCCCAGATTCCTCCAGAGTTAAACTATAACCGGCGCCATTCACTCCCTTTAACTTTGCACTATAAAGGAAGTCGCAGGTCAGCTCCCCTATTTTATTTCTGTGAAGAATTAAATTCCCTCATCCAACGTTTCTCGTCCCTTTTATTTGTACCCAGTAGAAAGAACCTGAGACATCTGAGGTAATTTTTAGAGGGTTCTTTTTTTTTTTTTTTTTTTTCCGGCCTGCAAACTTATGGCTCTCCCCTCCCAGCCCCCCGGCTGCCACATGAGGCTGCTCCCACCGAAAGAGCCCAGTCCCCTTAGGGCAGATGTTCTGAGGCAGGGTGCTGTTACCTTTCTCCTTGCTGCTCCCGAAACTTCTCTGCGCTTAGTACAAGATGGAAATTGTTCTGCAGTTTTGGTGCGGCTTTTTAATATTCCCTGCTCTTAAATTTTTTTTTTTTTGTTTTTTTTTTGTTTTTTTTTTGTGGGGTAGGGGTTTTCTCTGACACTTTTGGTAATTTTGTAAATTAGCACATACTTCACCTGGCAATGTAAGTCTGTACATCAACATATCTTAAGATTTCCTTGTATTTCTGCAGGATTTAAGCCTACTTAAGACACTAGAGAAAAGTAGCTAGAAATCTTTGAAAGGTATCCGACAATTATACTTCTCCTGCCTATACTTATGCAATACTAGGAGAGTACTCTTCTCTCGCAAGTACTGTTGGTCCCGCCAAGTATCGTTGATCTCTTCTCTAAAATCACCGGGAAACACATCTCTGTAAGTCAAAACAACCTCAGCGAGCTGCGATCCACGGCCGCTCTCGGCGGTTTATCCCGTGTCACAGACCGCCAGGGTCCTTTTCTTTCCTAAACAAAAGCTTGAGATGATCTGTGGAGCTGACAGAATGGGAACTGTTTTTCTCTCCTGGAAAATTTTAGTTTAAAAAGTCTGAAGAAATGGACAGTGGCGATAAAAATAAGTTTTAATACGATGTGATAATATTGACGAGTCTTGGAAGTATTTTTGTCTAAATAACTCTGTCTCTCTTTTCCCACTTCTGTCATCTACATTTTCGGGACCGGTCTGGACTGAGGACTTTTGTTAGCACAACACTGCCTTAAGCGTAGGGTTTTATATGCCTTGTGATATATAGTTCCCAAAAGAATACACAGAATCTTAAGAAAGAATATTGCTGTTAAGCTGTTAAAAGCCTTATTTCTTTTCTGAAATACCAACTGCTTGTGAACTCTGCTTGAACCTAAAAAGGAGGCTATGGGCCATAAATCACATGGACAATGCTCAACTGTTTGGTGGCTCATCTTTAGATCTTAAAAAGAGAGAGAGGGAGAGAAGGAGGGAGAGAGAGACCTATCCAGGGTTTGATTTTCCACGAGTGAAAGGCCCGGGGTGATGTTTTTATAGGTAACACCAAAGCAGGGGCTCAACACTTGGTGGTTTGGCCAGAAAAAGCCTACAGGGAAGAAAAAAAAAAAAAAAAAAGAAAGAAAGGAAAAAGAAAAAAAAAGTGACATCCAAATGGTGAGGCCGGGCCGTGGGAGGTGGGCTTGGAGGCACCGAGGGTAGGAAACCGCAAAGTATCCATGTCTGTGTTTCAGATTTCCCTTCTTCCTCTCCAGGAAGGTTAACCTCATCTGAACTGTTAGGCGTTGCACATGATAATGGGACTTTTTGTTCTGCCACTGGTTCCAGTGCTTTTGCGGGATGCCGGCCCTCTCAGGGCTCTGCCTGGAGAGCGGTGGGAGCCCAAACCTCCACCCGCGCGTGTGCGCGGAGCCCGGCTGGCCCAGGCTGACATCGGCCCGGCGCTGCCAGTCGCTTTCCTCCCGACACTTTCATATTAAGCAGTTCTCTACTAAAACTTCCACTACACTTAATTCTGCTTCGGATCAATATCTAATATGATACCGAATAAATAAGAGGCGGTGAGAGCGGCCAGCGAAGCGGTTATTAAAGCAGCCGGAGCTCTCAGGGTGCATATCAATGCACCTGTCATTGCGGTTGTAGCAAAATTTATGACTGCTAGCGCCGTGGCAGTAAACGCTCCGGCCAGGAATGAAAAGGAAAACACTTCCCAAGCCCCGGCACTTTCAGAAGTGCAAAGCAGCCGGCGCGTAGGAGGGAGCCCGGCAAAAGAATCCCCCGCTCGGCACGTTTCCCGGCCGCCGGCCCGGGGCAGCCCTGTATATAAGGAAAGCGCTGGAGCCGCCGCCGGACCCGGCCGCAAGCAGGGCAGCTGGGCAGCCAGCGCTGGGGCTGCGCCTGAGCCGGGGGATGGCTCGTCTGGGAGAGCACTGGGGAGCGCGAAGGGGCCCTGCGAGACACGGAGCAGTGGCTGCCGTGGGGCCTCTTACACCAGCTATGGAGCCCCTCGGGGAGCCACCCGCTCCCCGCGGCTGGGTCCAGGCCTTGGCTGCTCCCCAGCCGGGCTCAGCTTCCGCGGAACAGGGGCGGCTTCCAGCGGGGCTTTCTGCGGGCCGTTCTTTATCTGACCTGCGGGGCGGCGGCGCGCCCGGGGTGCCGCCGGCCGAGCAGCTCTCCCCGCTCGGGCATGGGCCGGGGCCGGGTTGTGCTCCCTGTGACGGGCCTGTCGCGATAGGGAAAGAGACAGACGGATGGAAAAGGAAATTCAGAGAACTCACCAAACTTACGTTTTTTCTTGATTTTTGACTTTAACTGTGTGAGTAGGATCTTCAGGTTCCTTTGGATAATCCGTGGGCACGGACCTGCAATAGAAGTGATAACTCTCAGCGGAAACTGCTTTGTTTTGGACTTTCTTCCTTAGGACTTTGTTAATAAATGCACATCTCGTCCACAGCCCCTCACCGTGTCTTTCCGTCCGCGTCAGATCTTTTACCAGACACAGGGTAGATGTTTCTCTTCATTTATTAATAGCGATTTGAGAGAGGCGGGGAGCAAACAAACGTGCAAAATACTCCAGTTGCGGGTCGGAGCCGGGCCGGGCGGCCTGCGGCGGCCGCGAACCCATCCTGCCTTCCCGAGCGCAGTCCAGCCCCGGCCGGGGCGCGGGGAGGCAGCGCACGGGCTAAGGGAGCGCCTTTGCGGGGGAGCTGCGGGCACCTTCGAGGGTCACAAGCACCTCTCCCGCCGCCCTCATCCACGGCCCGCGAGGAGTTCCGCGGAAACGAAGCTAGCGCGGGTCTCTCTCCATTTCTCCCCCCAGGTACCGAGTAAGACAGAGAGAAAGATAAGCGAAGAAGTCCCAGCATCGAAAATGCGCTGCAAACATTTGCGTCTCGAAATGAGTATTTTGCCTTTGTCTGTGCAATGTGTCGATACAGGACTTTAAGAACTTAAGAGTGCCAGAAAATCCCCCACAAAGAAGCCCAGGTCATTATAAAGACGATATCTAGCCACCATAAGCCTTTGAAATGACCTTTGGCTCGTATAGTAATAACTCACCACTTAATGAACAACCAACGGAAGCGCCTCCGATAACTCACAACACAACAGATCTTACAACTTTCCACCAAGTCTTCTCTCTCCCTAACCAAACTCAGTAGGATGCTACATTCCCCTTCCAAATCACCTTAATTTATGCTGGCAAACTGGAGTTAGGGAAGTGGAGCTTCATGATTACACATGATGCTCGCTCAGGTTCCTGGCCCAGGCCTGTCCCGGTAACGTCTTATATAATGTATTCACGTGGGCGTACGTCAACTTTAAGTGCTTTATTTTTTTTAAGAGAATTCATTAGAAATAGCACTTTAGACGGTATATGAAGGCAACCTAAAGTGGGTTGCACCTTAGCCCCTGAGCGGGGAGATCATAATATTGCAAACCGAGTCATTGTTAGCCATTGTTGATTAACACGGTAAGTTTTCATTTTGTGCCTAATTAATTATCGACTTCTCATCTCTTTCCGAAGCAGCTTCTCAGCCTCACAAGCGATAGCCTTCTAACTCTAAACATGCTTTATTTAGCCAGAGCTTGGCCAAATATCAAGACCTCCACGGCCACAGGAATAACCCCCAAAGTTTGTACTGTGGAGAGAGGAGTCTGGGCACGCTGGGGTTGTGCTCGTCTCCCAGCGCTCGGAGAAGACGTTGCCAGAGCTGAACCCAGGGAAATCTTTAGAATTATTCAGGCGTGGGACCAATATAGGTATTATTGAAATTTTAGGTGAAGTTATAAGTGAGTGCTTCCATCGAGCCAAATGAAATGCTGCTTGCAGTAATTGGATTCAGCTGACTAACTTGGCAGGCCAGCAGCTTGGAGGCATACAGCTAAGAAAAATGTTCAGTGCTTTTAACTTCTGATCGAGCAGAGCAACACGCAACAGAAAATAATAAATAAATAAATAAATAAACAAACACCCTAACTTTCTCCTTCTCCCCTGGCCTCCCACCCTGTTTCCTTCGGGGCACTCCGACCCCCACCGAGGACTCGCCCGGGTGACTCGGGGAGGGCAGGGTCCGTTCCAACCTTACACACACTCTCGCTCGACAGCACAACGCGGGCTTTACGCAGGGGCTTTACTACAGCCATAAGCGAGACTTCACCCGGGCTCCAGGCAAGCCACCAGTCAGTAGAAAAAGACTTTCCTGGCAGAGTCGGGCTAGTTGCAGCAGCCCAAGCGGGAGCTGAGCTGTTAGTGTTTGCGGGGTGGCTGTGTGGCCGTTTCCAGACCCCCAGTCTGCCTGGAGAGGCACCGGTCTCCCCCAGGCATCTTCCCACCGCCTTATTGATCAAACCACACAAATGCAGGGCAAGAAACTTCTCGGTAGATAAATATCAAGCCGTGCTTCAAATCGCATGTGTTACTCGAAGGCATAAGCATACTGGTAACAGCAGTACTAAAACAACTGCGGAAGGAAAACAACAGCCACTAAGGAACACGAATGCGCTGCCAGGGAAAAAGGTTCGGGAAGACACTTGGCACGAACATTTGAGAGATCCTGTGTAGGGGCTACGTTACCGATGAGCCTATTTTAAATCGCCCTTTACAAAGCAACACGGCTACCCCCTGCCCGGCTAACCACGGCAACGCATTAACGTGATGCTCAATCTCACTTTGGCAATGGGAGCATCCAGCAAACAAAGTTCTCTCCCTCGTTTGTTTGCTTATTTGTAATTCCCTTCCTGAACCCACCGAAAACTGGGGAAAGGATAGGGTTAAACGTATTCCCCTAGCTTTTGGAAATGAGTTCACTTTTTATTTAAAGAACATAACAAAAAGAAGATACAGCTTAAAACGTTCAAGTAGGTGGAGACCACTCCATACATTTGTAGCCACTATGGGCAGAGATTGCAAACAAATTCCAGACCGTGTCTGAGTAAAGGAGATAATACAGCCCCTGCGGTTAAACGTCCCATTTTGTCATGCAGTTGCTTACCTGTGTATCAATTTATCATAAACCTGGGTTCCTCACTTTTCAGCATCTGCGCTTGCAGTTCTTAGAATATATCCTTCACCCTTTGTCTGCAGACAATACTCTCCTAAACCTGATCTTGCGGTTTTACAAATATTTCCATACACCAGAATTCCCGACAGAACGAAAACAGGCTCAGGCTCAACTACCAATAAAAGAGAGCAAGTGGAAATCGGAATTTGTTGGGCTTTAAAAAAAAAAAAAATCAACACACAACCTTTTAGCCATCAGCCTCCTGGAACCAACGACAGCAATTGGCCGGCTCTTGTTTTGTTTTGGTTTTAAATCGTGCGGCCATTGATGAATTTTGGGGGCGAGCAGGAGAAATCCCTTTATAATCAGAAATATAGGCACTGCCTTAAAATACAGGCATATCGGCCCACGTGATCGGCTCGCAGCGCGCCGGGGCCGAGGCAGGCGCGCTCCCCGCGCCCCCGCGCAGCGGGGCTGCCGCGCCGGGCCCCGTGGGGCGGGCGGCCCCGCGCCCTGCGCGCCCGCCCGCGCTGCCCAGCCCGCTCCGCACCGCTCCGCACCGCGGCCCCGCACTTACGCGCCCCGCGGGGCTGGCGGAGCAGGGGAAAAGGGTGAATTCCGCGGGATGATCCCAGCGCGCAGAAATTCCCAGCGGAGACAGAGGAGGTATTTGGAACCAGCTGCGGCCGGGAGCCTGTGCGGGGGGCAGCTCCGCAGCAACGCTGCTCTGGCGGACAGGCGCTGGGGCCCACTGGCGTGCGCGACTTTTTGCTTTCTCCTTCTCCGGACCGGGAAGATGCGGGGCAGCGGGGACTGCCCCTGTCTGGAGGCCAAAAAAGCGTTGGGGGAAAAAACCCTCACGACATTTGTGCGTGTGTGTGTCTGCCCTGAGCCAGCCTCCCTGCTATGTGTGTATAAAGAGACATGGAGTAAACCCTGTGTATATCTGTCATGTGTGCCCACAAAGTTCCCCAACAATACCGGTTAGGCAAAAGAAAAAATATATATGTATTAGCTTCTCTGTTTGATTTTTTTGTAACATATCTGTAGCTATAAATACACTACACCTAATCTAACATCTGCTATGATTTCATTACCATCCAAAGCATGGGGATGTGACAGTAACGTATTACCTTACTATACTAACCGTAAGTGCATTGTAACATTTATCTAAATTACATTGCTTTTCCTGACTTTGCAAACCAGTTATAAAAAGATTGGAGTCCAGTGATGGAAACATAAGTTCAATGTAAATTATTGTGTATGGCTTCGGATTTATAATCCTATATTTCTTCGAAATGATGCACTTAAATCTCGCCTCAAGTAAGAGGTAATGGTTCTTTATATCCTTTTCAGTCAGCCATATATTTTGGTGTCTGGGTAGTTTTGCCGAGCCCCCCGCGCTCGCGTGTCTGTGTGTACATACAGCAACCCCTACACGCACAGCGTGTTCTGCATACTTGTGTACATGCACACAAAGCCGAACATAATTCTGGCCGCTGTTTAGACATTTTGGATGACGGAGAGGTCTTTAGCTTCCTACACAAAAGTGAGAGGGAAAAGCTGGACACGAGCAAAGAACACGAAGAGGATTCAGAAGAAAATGCCTTTTTGAAGGGCAGTTCGGAACCCCCCGGAGAAAGCCTCACAGCCCTTTGGTGTCTTTTCAGAGTCTAGCGCTAAAAGAAAAAGAAAAATAGAAAGAAAGAAAGAAAGAAAGAAAAAAAAAGAAGAAGAAGAAAAAGCAGGCAAATTTAACGTGAAAATGGAGGACGGCTGAAAGAAAGGAGCACCTTCGCCACGAACGCCAGAATTAAGATCTCGTGAAGGGGACTGAAAAAGTATTAAGGAAATGTTAATCCTTTGGCTGGTGGGACTCCAGCTTTGCGCGAATTTGTCTCCAGTAAAGGATCTAAGACTTCTTCAATCGGAGCATATGTTCATAGAGCAATAAAACAGAAAGATTTACAGTCTCCGCCCGCCCCCCAGCAGCCTCGCACCCTTTCAGGAATTACTTATGATGATTTATAACAACAACTCCGGCAATTGTCAAACTGATAAAATAGCCCGGGCTGTATGCGAGAATAAACGCTCTTATGAAAGGGTTGCGATTTATGTTCAGGTCCATTTTACTGCATGTCTTGGTGGAGTTTGGTTTCTTTCCCGGCCCAATAGGATAATATTAAACTTCATTGATAAAAATGTAGGAGTTCTCGTGAAGTAGCGAATCTGTTCCTTAGTCACTACCACAGCACACAAACATTTGTCATTTTTGAATAATTGAATTAATGTGTTATTGTTTGAATGTATAATTCATAACATAGGAAACTTTGTCTCTGTCCTGCCACCGAAACGGAAGCAATAAAAAGCTACAATCTAGGGTTTTTAGAAATTACTCCAGCAAGGGATAATAAAGAATATCCTGTTTGCAGGAGGTATTTCCAGCTGACTGGGATTTCACAGAGAAATCTCAGACTCGCCTGTATTCTATGGAGTTTATAGAGAGTGGCTTTGTATAAAAACAAAAATGCTATTTTCCCCACTCCGGGCTATTGATCGGGGACTCGCGAGCCGGCATGCCCGCTCCGGGGGCTGGATGCGGCCGGACTCCGGTGCAGCCCGGGCGGCCGGGGCAGGAGCGGGCAGGGCGGCGGGGCAGCGGGGCCGGAGCCGGCCTTTGTGCGGGCGGCGGGGGAGAGGCGCGCCCGGCCCTGGCTCCGGCCCCGCTGTCAAAGACTCACGGCAAAATTTACGAGCCCGCTTGCGAAGGAGCCGAGGGCCTTTCCCCGCCGCTGGGACCGGGCAGCGGCTGCCCTGACAGCCGCATTGTTTCCTCCGCTCCGCTCCGCGCCTCCCCGCGCAGGCACCGCGGCCGGAGCCGCCGCTGCGGGAGGCGCTCCGGCCATCAGCCTCCTGCTCCGCGGAGCTCCGCGGCGCTCCGCGCTGCTCCTCTTTCCCCCGCTCCCTGGGAAGCAAAGGTCATCGCTTGCGCCCGGTCCGGTTCCCGGCCGCTGCCGCGCTGGAAATCAGGAAGCAGCGTGCCCTATTTGTCAAGTGTTTGACAGCTGAGTTCATTAAGGCTTAAATAAGGAGGAATAAAAGTAAAAAATATTTACGTACCGGGCGTCTCTTTTTCAGCGGCTACCCAAGAGCTAGGTGTGCAGGGAGAGGGACGGCACCCTTTGTATATTATATTCTTGGGATCTCTTCAGTTTTCAAGTCTGATAGAGTCCTTTGCTTGGCAGATTAATGACGACTCCGTGTTTCTTAAGGGACGTGCTGAATTAATTATTTCGCAAATCACGTGGTCAGGACTTGTAGAAATCTATTCTTATCATCTTCCTTGCACTTTGAAATTCTGCCTGTTATGACTGTTCCTAGCAAGATTATTTTGGTCTCTAGGCTTGGGGGGGAAGGAGGAAGAAAAAAAAAAAAAAAGGAAAAAAGAATCAGGGGAAAGGGCTAACAAACATGGCCGTTGGAAGCGGTGTGGCTCTGCACCGAGAGGTCCCTATTTACTGTACTGTACAGTGAGTGGGGTTTGCTATTGACTCTGCCTTTCCTCTTCATTCTTACCTTAACGACTAGTGGTGATATAATATACAGAACTGTATTGATGTATCGGGAGTAACAGGAGGAGCCATTAAACACCAGAGAGAGAAAGTATAATCACAAGATATGCCTCAATATTTAAACTTAGAGAGTGTATGCTTAGAAAGGCAACCCCAGCCTCCCCTGGGCGCACTTGGGCAGTAAGGGCACATGGTTTCTGCTGGGCACCCTGCTCCCTGCCCGGGCTGAGCCAGAGACTGTAATTTTGGATTCGTGCCTTGACGACGCTCCAGGAGAAGACAAGCCCTCACTGCAAGTATTTATGACAAAAATAGTGCAATAGACTTCTCCGGGCTGTGTTAGTGTCTGAGATACTTACACTGGGAAGGAAAAAAATATATGCTTGCCATAGGTGCATGGCAAAGTTTTAAGACTTCACGTTGTGTTTTCTTGTGATCTTTCTTTTATATCCGCTGTCAAAGTGAGAGTTACTGCTCAGGAAAAACTACTCTCTGCATTGCAATTTCGAATTATCATTTCTTTATTTAATTGATTCTTTCCAGGACTCACCTAAAAGACACACATCTGTGTGGGCATCGAGGTGATTTCAGGTGTGGCTCCTTGCCTCCTACCACACATGCAGAAATCCAGGAGTCATTCTAGAAGGGCTTGTTAAATGCAAAGCAGCAGCAAATGGATGACAGTCACTTTTAACTGCAGCCCAAAAGTAAATATAGACTCCAGCTTGGCCTAGAGTCACACCATTATGGCTGAGGCAAACAGCAAACCTGTTCAAAGGGACATTTGGAAGGATGCTATGCAGAGTCACTCATCTTTTAACACTGTAATGATGGGAGGGACCAGCATTTTCACAGAAGAGAGACCCACCTTGTAAGGATTGCTTGTTCAAGGTACAAACCAGAATCTATTTCGCTACACCTTTTTTTTTTTATTTCAGATGTGGAGGGCTTACATCAAAACTACAGGCGACAGTTAGTATAAATAACGCTTTAATCAATGGCAGCAAAACATCAGCAAAGTCTATAAAAAGCATCACACTTTAACAGAGATGAGAGTAGTGCTGGACGATGCGACCGTTTAACAAAGGCTCCAATGCACAACGTGTACCCGTGATAAACAAAATAATCAGCTTTCCTTCATACAAAAAATAACTCTGGAGGAGGGTTACAACCATAAAAAAAAAATAATAAAACAACTCAGGTTCGTTTTGCATGGGAGATAACGACCAGTGGGTGCTACTGGTCATTATTACACACAGTCCTGACCATTCAGAGCAATGGCAGCTGGAAACTATTTCTGTTTGGTACTCTCTGCCTCCACTTCACATATTCTCCGATCTTACGGTGCAATCGCACCTATGTGAACCTATAGTGCTCCAGCCTCGCTCAAAGGGGACGTGCAAACAGGGTTGTAAGAACTGTGCCTGCTGAAGCCAACACTCGTCCTGGAGTTATTAACATTTCAAAAGACAATGAGACAAATTCTGCTCGCAGCTACATGCCTGTTTGACTTCAGTGGGCGGGGGAAGGAAATCTGGGAGCAGAAGTTGGTCCTTTAACTTCGGGAGCCATCTCGGTTGATTAGAAGCACAAAGAAAGGATTTGCTTATCCAAGGCCAGTATTTTCCAGGACTGTACCACAGATGCCAAAGTTGGTAGCTCTCTCTCGAATAACACTTTTGCCCTGCTCGCAGCCAACTTATAAGACTTCAGGAAAACAGCGGGGGTCCGGGAGGAGGATTTTCAAGAAGGGCAGCTAGAGGGATTTTACTTCCCCACACCCTTTTTTCTTCTTTATTTTAATAGATACGTATGAAGAGCAAAAGGATGGCTTTGAGCAGCTCTGGAGAGGAAAGGCCACTACTGCAGGAACCTGGTGTAACAAAACTTGAAAACTTGTCTAAGGAATTCCCTCCTCAAGCGCTGCTGCTAGCTGCTCTCCATGCTAGAGAAAGGGAAGGGTAGTTTGGGTCCAAAAGGTTAAGGGTTTAGAGGTCACTCTTCCCGGCTGAAATACAACTAATCGAATAGAAAATTTGTCCTCTGGGTGAACCTGTTCCTGCAATTTAGCCGAACTTCAGTAAAATACCTTTTCAGCTTCTCAACGTGAAGGCGTCAGAAAAAAGACGTCTTTACTATGTATGAACTCGGTGCTTTTTGTCATAGAAACAATGATGCGAATAATGCGGGAATATCCATCTTTAATATCACGACGTGGAGATATTCAAGTATTGCCATGTGCAAGTCTGAGAACTGGGCTAACCCTAAGGAAGAACAAAGAGTTTTCTCCAGGCTCTAAAACAAAAGACCAAGTCTTAAAGACACTTTGCGGACTTCAAGGGATGAGAAAAGGGCAGAAATTAACTGCTGGCCACAGTTAGCGTTGCCGAATACACTCTTGTTGAAAAGCTCGCCTTTTATTTTCGAATTAATTCAAGCCCATTTTGGCCAGTGTTTTCCCGACGAGCCCAGAGAGAGCCGTGAGTTCTCAGTGGGAAGCATCCAGCCTGGAGAAGGGCACGTTAACTCACCCCCTGTTCTTCCACCTCCCTTCAGTGTTTGCTGACTTTCCTTCTTCGCCACTTTTCTCTTTAATAAAGGGATCACCTCGTTACAATTTTGGCTATGTGGTCGCTTTCCTAGGCTGCCCTGAGGGTACAGGAGATAAGGGCTGAGCTTTAAAACCGCCTGAGCAGAGGTGTAAGTGGCTCGGGGAGCTGGTTTGGTTTGGTAGTTACAGAGCACTAAAACTTTGGCAACCAGCAGTCAGGGACAAATTCGTGGGTATTAGACCAGTTCTGCTCCCATCCAAGCCTTTCATCTTCCCTGAAAGCAACTTGCTGAGATTTCCAGCCATTGCAGTCATGTGTCATGGTTTGCTTAAAAACAATCACTGTTCTAAAAAAAAAAAAAAAAAAAAAAAAAAAAAAAAAAGACAAACAGACAAACAAAAAAACCCCCAAAAACCAAACACCCAAAACCAGAAAAACCCCAACAAAAAAAAAACCAACCCAAACCCCATACCCAATCCTAAAAAATCCACCCAAGCCTAAAAACTAAACAAACCAAAGCCAACATAAACCCAACATAAACCCAAAACAAATCAGCAACCCACATAGACTATCTCTCTCTAGTAGAAAAGAAATTTAAAATCTGATTGAAAGAACGTGTTCAGCTTTCAGCTTTGAATGGCTCAGTTTATATCAGAAATTACATTAATTTTTCAGTCTGGGTTGCTGTTGTTTTTTGTGGGGTTGTTTTTTGTGGTCTTGCCTCTTTCTTTTTCCTTTTTTCTTTCCATTTTTAAATGAGGTATCGATGGTTTAAAGCACAGCGCTGAACAGAGCAGACTTTGGAAACAGATTTCAAGCCTGTTTGCTCTGGATGGCACACAGTAAGGAGCAGGGACACTTTTTCTATTCACAGAGATGGAAATTTAAAAACAAGGGTGGGGGGGGGCAACAAGAAAGTTGTGTACGTTCAAGACAAGTAAACACTACATATGTGTTCATGAGACTGAGAAGGAAAAATACTGTATTTCAGCTCCCCTTCCTCGTTTTTGGTTTGACTATTTTTCTTTTTGTCTTAATTCTTCTATGCAACAAATAAATAAATACACTAACATTACCAGAACACAAAATAACCCGTTTTCACTTCATTTCTATGCACACTTTCTGAGACGTTATGGAAATGAGCAAGAATTTTCATTACACCGAGAAAGGTAAAGCAGCACACACGAAAAAAAGTTCACAATTATTAGTCTTTATGTTCGAATAAAAGACTATGCTATGAATTTCCTGTCCTCAACTTGCCCAAAATGCATTCTCCCGAAATTGCATGGGATAAAAAGACAATTAAAAGTATAAATCCCAGAATAAAGCATCCAATCTTCACTTCAGAATTCAAAACTGAAACACAGGACAGTTTCATTTTCAATTATTTATTATTTTTTAAGGACAGAAGGTCTCGTTTAATATTTTCCCAATTCCCACTGCCTGCATGATGGTTTGTTTGTTTTCCCCTCTTTTTTTCTTTCCCTTTTTCTTTTCTTTTTTTTTTTTTTTTTTTGTTTGTTTTCCTTTTTTAGGTTGTGCTAGCAGAGGCAAATAAAATAAAGTCCAAAGTAGCGTCATTTTGTCTCCTTTGTACAACAGTACCTTAAAGAAAGATGACAGTTTCTCGTGTCCTTAGCTGCTACATGCAGGTTCTGCTTGGGCAGTGTCAGTTATGTACAGTACTGGTCAGAAGCGAAGGATGAAATGGAAAATTTCACCTCTTCTACAAAGTTGTCAAGTCAGTCTGATGGTCCTTGGAACCAGTTTGTAAATGGGGGTTTGAACCAGAGGAAGAAGATCTGCCCTTCGTGTTGGGCAGTTTGTGATCTTTTTTCCACTTCATTCTTCTGTTCTGAAACCAGATCTTGATCTGGCGCTCAGAGAGACACAAAGTGTGGGCTATCTCGATACGGCGGCGCCTGGTCAGGTACCTGTTAAAATGAAATTCTTTTTCCAGTTCTAGGACTTGCTGTCTGGTGTAAGCTGTGCGGGAGCGTTTAGGTTCCCCTCCGTTGTAATTGGGATTCACTGGGAAAAAAATACGGAGAACTTTTACAAAGCTAATCTTGACTTGCCGGTCCGACTTTACAAAAGAAAACCTTATGAGCTGCGAGCATGTGGCCGAGCTGGATTCGTCCCAGTTGCTTACAATGGCCGGGCTGCTTTCCCCCTCGTTTGAGGCAGGCGCTACGGGCACACGCAGCTAGGTAGGCTGGGAGCCTCTAGAAGGCTCCTAAAATGGAGTTTTATCCTGCACGGCAAAGCCCCGCATGGCCAACGGCCTATTTCCTCAGCAATAAAAATTTATGGCGAGTGTAATTGGCCACCTCGGTTTAAAAAGCTCGCCCACGAGCCTGGCAGGGACTCGGGAGAGCGCCGCTGAGGACGATCGGAAGCAGGGTAGAAGAGCAAAGTAAGAAGAGGATCCTTACCCGAGTTAACATGGACTTTCTTCATCCAGGGATAAACTACTGCTGGCTGCTTAAGTGCGGAGCCGTTTGGGGGTTTGAGGGCCGGCTGCTGGCTGCAGGCTCGCGAGTTGGACATTGGAGGCGGTGGACAATGCTCTGCTGGGCCGGGGAAGTGGCTCGCCGGGCCGGATTGCTCCTGTCCGTGACCCCGCGGCTGCCCGGCAGAGCCCTGGGCATTGCTACAGCTAAAGGGTTGCTCGCTGTAGTTTGACCGTGGGTAGAGTCCCTGGTGCTGGAAATCAGCGCCCTGCGAGGCACTGTAGTACTCGGCCCCCTGCTCGCCTAAGTAGCTATTCTGCAAATATTCCTCGCAAGGAGGAAATTTGGGATCCACATACTTAGAGTTCACCATATACGAACTCATGGCCATTAATTTCTGAAGGTAGAAAATACTAATTTTTCTCGTGTTGTCTTTTTTTCCCCTGCCATAGAGCCCTCCTACTTGCTGTCAACTGAATAAAGTTAGGCGGGCATGTGACCGGCCCGGCCAATGGGGAGCCGGGCGCCCACCGCCGCATTTCCCCGCATTTCCAGCGATTCCACTCAATAACATCCCCCTAACCCAATGACCCCCCTCTCCGGCGGGCCGCACCCGCAAACCAGGTACCGGAGGTGTAGGGGTACCCCCGGGGCGGCGGCCGCTGCCCTGCCCACAGCCTTTTGTCTGAGCCGGCTTCCCCCAGCTCGGGGGATGCTGCCCTGCCCTCCGATCTGCTAGCCAGCATCGCCACCGGGGCTTGGTACCTCGCTTTAAATAAAATAAGAAAAAGAATCGAAAGGAATATACAGAGCGATGAGCTGAAGCGGGGTTAAAAGGGAAGAAACTGATAAGCAGGCGAGGGAAAGAAAAGCCATCAAAGAAGAGGCTAATATGATGTACAATAGATCTGTCCTGTCTTTGTCTAGCAGAGGTCATCCAAAAGTTACCAGAATTTAGTTCTGCTGAATAAAATTAGGCAATCAGTAACTTCTCATTCACTTTCAAGCCTCAAAATATACGTCTGCATACGTATGCGTGCACAGATGCAAACGCCAATGTATATTTATAAAAATCTACATGTATGTATATAAAATCATACAGATGGCAAGAAAGAGCTCACTTTTAACCACTAAAGTTCAATCAATTGAGCTGGAGACGTCATTTAATTAGGTTAAAAATATCACGGATTTAATGAGATAAATTCGGTCTTCATTCATCAATATCATTCCTGGAGCACAAGTAAATACATTCCAGCGAGGCGAATGCTGCTTTTGCTGCTGTCGTAAATATTTTGATGCGATCTGGACCCTTGACAGGGAAATTTTGCTAACGTCTGGCATATCTAGTTAATTTATGAGTATCTTATAAAAGACTCATTCACTGATTGGTAGATAATATCTTTTTTTTTTTTTTTTCCTCCAGAAATTTTGTAACTTCTGGTGAATTTAACTGTTTAAATTCACAGATTGTCAGTGAGAGTTAGGACTGAACGACAACTGAAGTTTTAAGAAACGTCCTAAAACCTAGTGAATAGGAGCGAGGCAGCAAACTTTTATAATTTCTCAGTGTTCAGCACGCACATGCCTCTTGATTCCGCCAGTATTTTAACTTCTAACCATCTGCAGAAAGGTGAAGTTTTTGCATCGACCATATATTCCCCTAGAATCGAATCTGTGACTATATGAATATCACACAAATTCGGTTCTACAGGGTATATATAGACAACGTAATAACATTCTGTTTTCATCTACAATATAGCAGGTCTTTGCCATTCTCTTAGTCTCTTACTGTCTTCTGAGGAATGCAAACTATTCTGCTGGGACTCAGCTCTGAAATACAGATTTGCAGGAAGGTGGGATTTCAGAAAAGATTCACGCTTCTTATTAGTGCTGCAATAGAGCTATACGACCCTCCACCAATTCATAGCGACGAATTTCGCCTACCAAATTCTCAGAAAGACCTGCCGCTTTCTTTAAATTCTCTGCCACTTACGCCCTCGCTATGGAAAATGGACGTGGTCAGTCAAATTGCGCTATTTAGAATAATAGTAGTTAAAGCAATTTATTAAGGAGTCTTTAAATATTTAGGTTAACATGAATCTGAAAATATTCTCCATAATTAGAAATTCCCCCAAAATAAAAAAATAATTTCTAAAAAATCGAAACAGAAGCAAAACAGCCGACAACAGAAACAGGGGTTGGTGAAAAAGATGAGATTAAAAGCTAGAGTTAGTTGCTCTCGGGAAAAAGATAGTTTCCAAATTTACCTTCATCCTATTATGCTGGTCTAGCTATTATCCCCGCGATCTGCCTGCGAGCCTTAGCCTCGCACCCTCCCAGGTTTTCCCTGCCGTAGCGTTTATGGTGAAGGGCAGGGCGAGAGGTCAGCCGAAATCATTTACAAACATATCACAAAGTTTCATTATTTTTACTTTGTCGACAGCGGCACACAGGAGTACAAAAGTTCATGAATTGTGTCTGACCCAGCTCCTCACTGCTGTCCTGCGGTCAACCTCTTCTCCTTCCACTATTTAAAACAGGCACCATAAGGACAAATAATGGTGCGGGTGTGATACATCCAACCACTGCGGAGGGCAGATTTGGGGGTGTTGCGCTTATCCGAGCGATGTGTACCGGGTTGTTTGCTTGGCTCCAGCTCCCAAGTGCCTGAGCTGGGAGATGCTATTTTCAAACGTCTGCTTTCCTACCACTGCGGCGGTGTTTCCTTCACAGCAAGTGCAACTCAAAACGACTTTATATCCTTAATCTCCCCCCGGATTCTTCAAATCCCTACCCAGCTATTTTCAGCATCTCTCTCCGCTTTCGCATCCTTTCTCTGAGGGGAGAGGGGACACCCCCCCGCCCTCGCGGGGGTTATTTAGCACCCGGCTGAACTGGCAGGGTAACTCCCCTCCGCCCCCCAAAGAGAGCTCTCCTTTGGGGCAGCCCCCGGGAGCGGACAAGCCCGCCGAGGGCTGCCCAGGGAGCAGCGATGAAGCTGGGGAAGCGGCAGCTCCCCGTTCTGCTTAATACTACACATTTTCATATTTGTTAGACGCTGTGACCTGCGTTTCACCTTATTGCACGACTTGCTCAGACAGGTCAAAGCCAAAGAGTTATTGATGAACAAAAGCGTTAGATATTCACCTCCTGTTCAACTGCCCATACAAAATACTTTTGATCTATCAGGCTTTTTGTATTCCGGTTCATAATCAGTATGCTAAATGTACGTTGGCAGAAAACAAGTAATCCATACATTTAGGGCCGACCCTGTAAAAAAATGCCAAGGGCGTCCTGGTAGCACAGGACTGAGCTGTGGGGGAAGGAAAGTTACCTATGGAACACAATTAAAATTGCAACGCTGAAGGCGATTCTTCAGTTCATATTTATAGGACTCGAAAACCAATATTGCAACGGAAGACAAAAAGACCAGGAGAAGCTTGGCACGTATAGTGAAACAGATTATTTATCAGGAAACAGGGAGAGGAAGCAGGGAAACGCAAACACACACACAAACACTCCTCTCCTGTACATGCTCCGGGTCAGAGCCGGGCTGGCAGAAACGGGAAGGACAATGTACAGCCTGATGAATCTCCAAATATCGCAGTCTTTCCTTCCCTCTTTGAGAGACAAGCCGGTCTCAGCCTGGAGGACCAGAACCAATGCCCCAAGCTCCTCACTAGAGCCAGAAAGGTTCAACAGCAGTTACTGATGCACACGGATCTTCTACCCTCCCCTCGGTCCCCCTGGCGCAGCTCAGGCAGGACCATCTGGGATGCGAAAACCCCTACAGTAAAAGATTGCCCTCCTAAGCTCTGATACCCGTTCTATTCCGTGCCTTCACAGCATTTAAATCCACGTTAGAGTCTCCCTTGCCCCGAGACCTCTCGCAGCACATATCAGCTCTGCTGCCCGCAGAACCAGGATGCAGCTGGGCTGCCCCTTCCACCCGGCCACCAGCCTGTGCCAAAGCAGGGGAACCGCAGAGCAGGCACAGCTCTGCTTGGGATCCCGTCTGGAGAAAAGAGTGGGAGTAGCCAAGGTTATGAGGTGCTGGGATATAACGTGATCCGTCTGGATTCTGCACAGGGAGGCGCTGTACAGTCCCGCCGAGTTAAAATGGAAACGCTGCTAATTGCTTTGGAGTGCTTAAAAGCAGGACGACACCTGTATAGCCCTGTAATAAACCCCCAGGAGACTGCACCTCTGCTTTTAATGCTAGCCAGGATTATGACATGGTACCACAAACTGACTGACTCCACAAGAACCTTCACATGCTGACATAGTCTTTTTTTTTCTGTTTTTTTTTTTCTTTTTTTTTCTTTTTTTCTTTTTTTCTTTTTTTCTTTTTTTTTTTTTTTTTTTTTTTTTTCCAAGAGGGAGTGGTGGGGGAGGAGAGGGAAGAAATATTCATCAGGAATCATAGTTTGGCAGTTTTTTCGGTCCGAAGGGAAGAACCAGGATTTTTGAATAACACAAACTCTACAAGAAATAAAAGGTTACTTACTGTGGATGTTCTTCCATGCTGCAGAACCTGTTGCAATAAAAACGTTTGTTACTGTTATATTCCACATATGGGTGATATTTCTGGAGAACAATTACAAACCACGTTTGATAGATGAAGGCAAAGAGGAGCTGGTGGTAAATCCTGCAAGCAGAGAAGTGGTGGGATGGAAGCCCCTTCCAAATGAGGACCACGTTGCGTTCAGGCAGTTTTTTATGAATACATGCTTTCCCTGTGCCTGGGGTGTGATCTTTCACTTTTAATATTCATACTCTAAATTTTATAGGAGATAATTTCTGAAGAAATGAAGAGCCAGACCTCCCTCTTTCACTAATGGAAAAGAATAACAAAGGCCTTTTTTTTTTTTTTCTGTGGGAATCCAGTCACATTCAGATCACCTTTGCCAAACTATCACCCACAAAATACGCCATGCAGCATTATATCCGTGCTAAATACAGAAAGACCTACAATTTTATCAGAATACTCCAAAATAGTTCTCTTTCAGGATCACCTAATTAACCTATCAGTAACCACGAGACATGCGCCTTTGTTTGCATTATAGAAGGATAGACTTGACTTCAACTTTCCTTCAAATATTTTATTAAATATATTCAAAGATCACACAAGGGAAACAAATTAACTTGTTTAGTCTAATTTTCCTGAAACGCGTCATATATTTAAAAGTAAATACTACTGGGAGGTTCTTTTCTGTGAGCGATTTTTCATCTCCTGTATTGCCTTCCTACGATATCTTGGTGAGTTACTGTATTAAACACAGAGCAATTGCCTCGGTATCAGTAGTTCACTGTATAGAGCTTCTTAAGACCTTTCTTGGTAATTTTTTTTTTAAAATTTAAGTTCTGCCCATTCTAGGAGAGAGTAAGAGGAGAGTGGGTTAATATCAGCATTTTGGCACTACCTTACCGAGCCTTTCCTTTTATCCTTTCATCTTCAATTTTTATTAAAGGAAATATTTTATTTAATTTTTAAAAAAACAAACAAACAAACCAAACAAAGCAAAAAACCCAAAACCGCTTATCTCCATTTAAGAAATCCCATTAAATTCAGAAATCTCAGCCAGAGGGCAGCGGCCACCTGAGCTGTACCTGCGCGTTTCCCAGCAGAGCCGCTCCGCGCTGCCGCGGGGGTGGCGGGGCGCCGAGGGCCGAGCGCGGCGGCGGAGGGGCGGCGGGCTGCGGACTCACTGCGCGCTCCCCCGCGGCCTGCGGGACCCGGGAGCAGAGGTGCCTGCGCGCTCGCATTCCGCCGTCGGTTCCCTGCTAACACTTTCCCGATTACTGCTTCCAGGAACGAAAGCATCTGCACTTGTATGCTCTTAAACTAATTTATGGTGGGAATTATATTTTGGCTTGTCAACTCTCAAGCCATAAAACAAAGTTTATTGGAATCACGTGCTTCTAAATAGCCACTCAGGACTTATCTCTGTGGAACCATAAATAACCCTCGGCTTTAAACTTTTATTCGCTAAATAAAGGTTCTCTGAATCTGTCCTATAAAACGGGACCGGGTCAAAATAGCGGGGATGGGTGGGAGCTCAGCTGCGTGGCGTTATGCCGGCCTTTTTGAGCAGCGTGTTTTAGGAAGAGCTGCAAAGGGGACTTAGCACTCCCAATGTGCTCTTGGGAAAGGAGCCGAGCGTGTTTTCTGTGGGTACCGGTCCAAACCTTTCTTTGTAGCTCTTAGGGTACAAGGGAGCTCATCTTTAGGAGGAAAGAAAAAACAGTCCCACCAAAACAAAAGAAAAAAAAACAACTGAAAGATGGAACATTTTTTCCCTTCCCTGGGTATTTATGGCATTTTGGTGAGGCTCCCCTGCAAAATGGCTTTGAGTCATCCATCTCAAAATTTGGGAGAGCTATGCCAGGGGCACCGCCGGGCATCCGAGGGACCTTTGTAAGTGACCAAACTGCTGCAAACAGTGAGTGCACAGGGCTTCGGAAAGGGAGAAAGTGTGAAGCCTGCCACAATGAGATCTTTGAGGACTGGAAGTTTAAGGACGGTTATAAAGCAATAAAAGAGCCCTGGTGTGAAGGGAGCAGGGTGTGAGTTCGCAAATGAGAATTTCAAGGAGCCCGAGCACAGGAAGTCAAATGTCCCTGGCAGTCACACAGCATGAAGAAACCCGGGCATCAGCTCCCAATCTATCATGGCTAAGATGAGGACGCCGGAGCGGCCAGCAGCTCCTGGTGCATCCCAGGAAGGGTTGGTGCCTTCGCCAGAGGGCGGGAGCTGTGTCAGCCCCGCCGGGGACCGGCCCGTGCAGAGGGGGCACGGCCACTCGCCCGGCCCGGCCCGGGTGAGAGTGCGCCTCCGCCCGGGGGCTCAGCTCTGGAAAACGAGCAAAATGCAATCCCTTGCTGGGTGCTGGCACCAACTGAGTGGTGCCTGTTTAACACTAGAGTCTGCTCTTACTTCTTATGAAGTCACCCAAAAGGGCCAACTCAGCTCTCACTGTATTTTTAGATGGCTCCAGTCACAGCTGAACGATTCGTTTTCCTTCAGACAACAAGAGGCATCCCGAGATCCTTCCCTGCTCCTTTATGATCCAGAGTGGCTTTGCATTCCACAATTTTTCTTGCTCTTTGCAAGGCCTTACTCACATTGCCTTAGTGCTTTTTCAATGGCCTAAGCTGTGGAACAGCCCTTTCCCCCTCCTCTGCCTAGGAGAGCTGGCAGAGAGGGGGAATGCACAAGGTGTCATTTCAGACGTAGTACATGGTCTGAGAAGCTTTATTGGGCCCAGGGGCTCCAGCCAGCCACCCCAGAAAGAGGAGTGGGCTGCCTTGCATGGGGCTGACTTCAGGGTCTCTTTCAGCCTGTGCTCCCAGTCCTGAGCAGGCAGAGGGACGAGCTCCCTGGAGCTCATGAGCCTTGCTCAGGCAGCTGGGCCTGGCCACAGTGGGCCCTGGATCAGGCTTTGTGACAGCCTCCAGCTACCCTCCTCCCCAAACATCACCCTCAATGGCCTCTGGAAGAAGGGCTTCAACAGCAGGCAGCTGCAGGGAGCCAAAGTGGCCATACCTGGAAAGGGGCAAGAAAAGACTACATACTGGGACATGAGGGGTAGGGTGTAATGAGAAAGTGCAATAAAATGTGGGGAAAATAATTTGGGACAAGAACTACAATGCAGAATCCAGTGCGTTTGCCCCAGGCCTGGCACTGAGGCTGGGAATGGCAAAGGTCAGGTCCCAGGCAGCGGGGCCCATGGGTGGGCTCCAGGCCCTGTGCAGGACAGCGAGCATCACATCCCTCCCTAAGGGGTGTCTGTGACTGCTTCAGCTCTCCTGGCCTGCCTCATGGTCAAAGAAGGCCATAGTTTGGAGATGTGAGACTGCCCGGCGTGTGCAGGAGGAGAGGAGCTGTGGAGGGGCAGGTGGCATGGCAGTCAGGCTGCAGAAGTGTCAGCCACTGGCAAACGAGGCGGCCCGGGCTGGGCATGTGGTTCAGGAACACGTGTCCTGAACATGGGGCTGTGAAAGATGAGGCTGTGAGATAGTGAGGAATTGATGATTGAGATACAGCTCCCTCTCATTTAAGGACAAGACAAATGTTTCAGTAACTGAGTAATTCTAGCCATGAGATTTTTGAAGTGGGAATTAGAACAATCTTCACATTTCCTATTCTAAAATGCAGATGTGAAATTTGACTTTGAAGCTCTGGCCAGTTCATTCTCTAGGCTTTTATGCAAGTTTTCATATTTGGGGCTGATGATCTGGAGACAGATAAGAGGTGTAATGAAATAACACAGTAACAATCAGTTTCCCTCTGGTAATTGTGATAAAGAGGCTGGGGGAATTGAATCACATGTGCATGCCGCCATCGCTCTCAATGCAACCTGACAGACACGACAACCGGCATCCTACCACACTGCCAGAAAATTACAGGCTCCATCTCTGACTTTGAAGACCTACCAAGCACCTTGATAGCGTCCAACGCATTTTGCCCCTCTGCTTTTATCATAACCCCGACTTTTCAACAGTCACCTCGTTGCCCATGCTCTCGCAGAGCAGGATGTGGGCATGCAAAGGCCCCTGCCTGCAGCACCCCACGCCCGCGGGCAGATCCGGCGGCAGCAGAGGCCCGGAGAGGGCAGGGCGGCGTCGAGCCGCGCCTCAACATCAAACAGGGCAGCGGCGGCGACACTTCGGGTCCGCGGGGGCAGAGGGAGAGGAGTGCGGGGCAGGGAGGGGAGGCCGGGGGCCGTGGGAGCGTCTGCCGGGGTGGGCACGGCCCGTGGGGGTGGGTGCCGCCAGGGTCGTGTCCGGGCACGGCTGGGGAAGGTGAAGCCCGCAGGCACCAGGTGAGGAGGAGGCAGGGAACTCTGCCGGGCCTCGGCTTGCAGGAGGCAAGGGAGGTGTGCGGGGGCCGGGGGCTCTGCCCGCGGGAAGGGAGCCGGCGGGAAGGAGGGTGCTCTGGCACCCGCATCAAAGGAACGGGGAGGGAAGAGGCGGGTGCCCGACATCAAAGCGCGGGCTGGTGACCGGGAGGGCAGCGGGGCACACGAGGGGAGCCCCGCGGCACCGCGGGTTAGGCAGGGGGAGCGCGGGGGCGCGCACCGGGGCGCGCCAGGGTCTGCGGACCCGCGTGAGACGGGAAATCGCGGCGCTGGAGAGAGTGGGACAACCGGGCGGCGCCTTGAGACGCCCGAGGAGGGCAGCGGAGCCCCGCCCATGTCCCCCGGCCGCCGGTGGGCCTCTGCCGTAGGCAGGCGGGAGGCAGGGTACGGGTCCCGAGGCTGGCGGCGGGGCGATGGGCCCC